TATAGTCAATATATATTTTATTAAAGATCTAACTTGTTGTCATTATGTATATAGACTCAGATAGTATTTTTAGTATATTAGCATTTTTTACAAGAAGAGATATACTTTTTAATATTTTTATATATCATCTCTGTTGTCTACTTATAATTTATCAGAATTTTTCAGATTACTAAATTTATTTCTCAGTATCTACTTTTTTCTGCTAATTCTTCATAATTTGCTTTAAGAATATATATCTTCTTCTCATCACTAAATATTACTTTTCATAGTAGTTTCTCTCTGTTAGCTCTTCTGTATAGTTGGTCACTAATCAGATAATACCTTTATACCTTTTGTTAAAGCTAGTTAAATCTATTTTACTTGCATTAATAGCTAGAAAAAGGTTTTTAAATAATTATGAACTACTTCCAAAATCTGTTAATTTAAGGTCTTTTGAGTTTATATATATTATTATTGAATCTATAAACTCTTTACCATCAGTTATCATATTTTTAGAAGAATTAAATAATCTGAACATTCTATCTGTATTTCTATATTCTCTACCTAGCTTATATTATACATGAAAGTTAAAAGATTGCAGTACCAGAACCTATCTCATAAGATACCCTTTCAATATTGCTTTATTAAACAACAAGCTCAAAGCTTAGTAATCTACTTATATATCAAATATAGTACTAGCTATATAGTATTCATTTATATTATAGCTAAAGACTATACTCAAATATTCCTTTTCTATTACACTGTAGTTGATCTCATATTTATTTAACTTTTATAACTCAAAAGACACTGGTCTTAATTTTTGTATTTTGTCCTTTTGTTCTAATACTATACCAAGTGCAACATTATATATATCAGCAAAGAGTTAATAGAAGCAAATTTCATTTTGTACTACCTGCTAATTTGGCCTTTTTAATACAATTTTATCTAATAAAGAAGTTTTCAAAATATAAAATGCTTCAGCTTATACTTTACTCTAATGAAATCCAACTTTTATTCTAATCAAATCAGTTAAAGGCTTCATAATTTTACTAAACTTTTTTATAAACTATCGATAATAGTTTATTACCTTTATGAATAATTATACCTGCTTAAAATTTGTAAGCTTTTTTCATCTTCTAATTTTTTTAACTCTTCTTGAATCTGCTTTGACTCCTCACCACTAATTACAGGGAATTTTAGACAGTTTTTTTCTGAGAAAGATATCATTGCTTCTTTACTAACTACAAAACTATATATATGCAACTTCATATTTAATATAAAGCATTTTTTTGCTTTAAATATCAGTTCTATATCTTTAAATTTTTTAGCTAGTTTGATAAATA